ATAGACTGAATAACCAGATGCTAGAAATTGAAATTCGGTTGAGACTCCTGCCGTATTTCGCTGGACATAATTGATTTGAAACGGAAACAATTGAATGTAAATCAGTTTATATACAATCAGATTACATTATTATATCCGTTGCGACCCATTTGTGTCAATTTCTAGGTTCTAAATATTACCGATTTAGCTCCTTTAAATGTAGTCTGTAGAGTGTTTACAAATAAATGTGGACGGACAGACCAATGTGACAGCAATGTACAACAACATTTCCATATGGGCGTATAAAAAGGGGTCTAATGTTCTACTTTTCTGCACCAACTGGGCTAATAAAGACGTGCATACACCATGTCCGGTGCTATGAGAAAAATTTTGCCCAGACAGCGGCGCTGTGGCTTACTCTTATGTAAACTTCCATCTGTCAGTATTTTGTGCCATCTGAAAGACTAGACAGACCCTACACATCCTGTACCACTCATTAAAAAGGGCAGACACCAGGCTGGAAAGTTGCAATGGAAGTATCTGAGCGAACACTGTGAAAGAACCCAGGGGCCTGTTTCACAAAATTTTAACTAAGATAAAAACCAAATTTTAGTAACTTGATTGGATAATATTTGATTGATTTTAGTGCTTAGCCAATCAAAATTGAAGTATCTACTAAAATTTGGATTTTGTCTTTAGTTAAACATACATTATGCAAGAGCTAAATCTGCCTATTTCAGGTCTTTCTTTAGGCCTGAAATGTTATCTAAATTATTAATTAGACATTAATTAACCTATCCAGGCCATAATCAACTCTAGATGGCAGCACTAGCCTGTGATCTTTAGTGGATTGTAAGCCGATTTACTGCATAACTTTCCTTCTCGATTAAACGATTAAATGGATAATCAAGACTGCTGTTTATCGTACTGACTTTAGTAATGATGATCGAGGCTTATGGGAATTTCAGTCGCTTAGTTCTCGGTTCATAGTGGATCAATTTGAATGAAATTTCCACCAAATTGCCTTTACATTATCTAGTTTTTAACTATTATAGTGAGAACTGCCAACTCGTTACCGAATCTCTCATAATGTATCTTTAAGATTTTGAGAAACGGGGCCCTGGACTTTCCGGCGAGTTGTTAGTGAGTTAATGGCATACACACTAAAATTAAAATCTTACAAGAAATTAATATGCATGAAAATAATTTAGAGAAGAAATATTTTATAGAATCAGTCGTAATTTATTCCACAGAAGTTACGTCTGCAGACCTGGAACTATTGACCTTTGTTGCAATCAGATTAAAATACAGATCTATATTTCGTTTCGTTTTTTTATGCTTTCGATGGCCTACACCACATGAAGATCTGACCGGTTGTAGCGATAGGTCACGTCAGAGGTCATACGAGCAGCTTTTGACCCTATTACGTCAGACATTTGATTAACCAATCAGCATTGATGTTACTAGCGGATTACCCACAGATCCATGCACAATACGCCTAAAGCTCGCCGTAACAGACCGTTTCATTGGCTAATAGCTCACATCATTCAGAACACGTCAATGATAACAACTCTTCTAGATCCTAGTGTAGTAAAGACAAGTAAAAAGAAATTTTGAACTATAAAAACGAAACGAAATAGAATCTGTGTTGTAAACAGATTGCCTTTGTTGAACATGACAACATGTCTGACACTAATGAACAAGTACCGGATATTTAGAATTTTGTGCCAAACACGTAGAAACAATAAAAACATTGATACAAGAGGATCCTGTGCCTAGAGAGATTTGTACCATGTGTGAGGTACCTTGGTGGATTTTACAGGATACGGCCTGAATATGTAGGCCTACCTGGAATTGTCTGTGACAGGTAAGACTGTATTTCTAGTCTTGAGAAGGAATAAAAGCTTTAAGTTTAGAGATGAGTAGTTGAGTTATGTTCTACTGTACAATATTGGATATAAGTCTTATACAGTTTATAATATATCATTAATAGTATATATTATCATGTAGTTTATATTATACAGTATAATCAATAGAGAATAATTTGTAAAGATACAACTATTGTTTAAACCATCTTATATTCCTTGTCTATAAATTTTTTTTTTAAAAATGTCGCAACAACGATATTACCACATATATTATCATGTAGTTTATATTATACAGTATATGATGTATTGTCAATAGTGTATTGTCTTGTAGTGTATACTATATCATCAATAGTGTATTATACTGTATTGTATATCATAACATCAGTATTGTATATCATATCATCTGTAGTGTATATTAATCATGTAGTGTGTATTATAGGAATGTGTATGTCAGGTCTTTATAAGTGTATACTGCTATGTGTATATAGTATCATGTATGTATATTGGTTTGTGTACTATATAAGTGTATATTGCTATGTGTACTAGTGTAATAGACTAGTATCATGTAAGTTGTATATTGCATGTTATATACATACATATATTAGTGTATATTGGTTTGTGTACTAGTCTAATATATACTATTCAAAAAAAGTAGGGGATATTTGATTTTGGGGGCATAATACTAAAATATGCAAATGACTACGAAAAAAGTCAATATAGAACCTAACAGAAGAAACATTTCCAGTTACATGTGACGCCCAAACGCACCAATAGCTACCGCATGGAATGCAGGTGATGCTTGGGATCATCATGGGGGTCCAACCCAAGATTTGCACGACTCTGACTTTGAATGTTACAGTCATTGTGGCATTGAATTCCAGGGTGGAAACATCAGTTTAATTGTTTTAGTGACCAGAAAACAAATTGTGATATGCGTCGACTTACCCAAAATGAAAGGTTACGTGCCCTTGGCATGCTACAGATCGGCACAACACAGGCGGTTGTGGCGCGGACGATGAATGTTTCTCAGTCTGTCATAAGCAGGCTATGGTCCAGATACCGTGATACACAATCTGTACAGGACAGACCACGCTCAGGTCGACCAAGGGCGACAACTCAAGCCCAGGATCGATTTATCCGTACCTTGGCCTTGAGAAATCGTGTCATCACAGCAAATCAGATCAGCGCTCGTCTTCAAACAGACACTGGTGTGAGAGTGAGTGGCCAGACGATTCGGAATCGACTGCATAGGGGTCACCTTCGCGCCCGACGTCCTCGCGTGATCCCTTGTTTGAGAGATCATCACATTCAGGCAAGACGTCGTTGGTGTAGGGATCGTCAACACTGGGATAATCGACGCTGGAGCAATGTGATGTTTTCAGATGAGTCAAGGTTCACTGTTGATTTTTTGGACAGACGTAGGAGGGTGTGGCGTCGTCGAAACGAGCGCTTCAAAGACGTTAACGTCATCAGACATGATCGATTTGGGGGTGGTTCTGTTATGGTGTGGGGAGGCATCACTGTTGCTGGAAGAACGGCTTTACATGTTGTTGCAGGGCGTGTTACAGGCCAGTACTACCGGGACAACATCTTGGCAGTCCATGTTGTGCCGTTCGCACGACGTCATGGCCGCCGTTTCATCTTCCAGGATGACAACGCAAGATGTCACAGGGCCAGGATCGTTACAGGTTACCTCCAACAACAGAACATCACCACATTACCTTGGCCAGCACTGAGTCCCGACCTCTCCCCCATCGAGCATGTCTGGGACATGCTTGGACAGAGGTTACGTCAACGTCAACAACGTCCTGCCAATGTCCAAGAACTTGCTGCTGCGTTGCAACAGGAATGGGACAATCTGGACCAAAATGACCTTAGACGTCTCATTAGGAGTATGCCACGTCGGATCAATGCTTGTTTGGCAAACAGAGGAGGATTTACCCGTTACTGACTTGGTTGTGATGCTGTGGTAACTTTGCTGTTTGACCCCGGGTATCATTTTACCCTTATAATGGTCAGTCTGTGCCTTACTTAGTCTAACGATCATTTGGAATAAATCGATGAATGTGAACTTCATTTCATTTTATCATTTGTTTCTTCGTCAGTTTCATTAGGTGACTTTAATAACACTTAAAAATCAAATATCCCCTACTTTTTTTGAATAGTATATTATCATGTATGTATATTGCCATGTTATACATTAATGTATATTGGTTTGTGTATTGTGGTTTATATCAACCTATGTATAATAAAATGTATAAAATTATCTGTGTGTATATTAATTATGTGTCCAGTTAAAGCGATTCAACAAATTTTAATTTTAAATAAATATCAATAGTGATAAAAACTGTGAGTCCCATCAGTGATAATAGAGAGAGATAGAGAAATGGGGTTTAACGTCCACTCGACACAAATATGTCATTTCGGGACTAACATATGGTTTAATTTTATTTACATAATTTGCTTGCGCGTATGGGTCTTTAGCAGTGGGAGGAAACCGGAGGACGCGGAGAAAACCAACGAGGTTGGACAGGCGACCCTACTCCTTGCCACGTACAACCGGGGATTCGAAACCGCGCCAGTCGACTCAATGACAGACTTTATGATACAGCGCGCGCACGCTAATCATTCAGTCATCCAACCCCCCTCAGTGATAATAACATGTTGCAAGAGAGAGAGAGAAATGGGGTTTAACGTCCACTCGACACAAACTAGGTCATTTCGGGACTAAACATGTTCAATAATGCCCTTAAAATGAAATGAAATGGGGTTTAACGTCCTACTTTCCTGCATAAACTGGGGTCATGAATACGGGCATACGCCATACAGTGTGTCATGAAAGAAATTTTGCCTTTCAAATTCCAACTCTCAAGGGTTCTTTTTATTTGCCTGCTAACATGTCTACGGGACCTCAGTTTTTTTGTCCCGTCAAGAATACGGGCATACACCATACAGTGTGCTATGAAGGAAATTTTGCCTTTCAAATTCCAACTGTCAAGGGTTCTTTTTACATGCTAACATGTGAACAGGACCTCAGTTTTTTTTTCCCATCCGAACATCTAGATCCTGTACTGCGCAACTGGTTAGTGAGCCCTTTGCTTCGCCATGTGTTTCAACAATTACAATTATAAAGATTTTAACCAATCGTCTTACCTGTATCAATTTTCGCAGTCACGTGATTCACCTTGACAACGGATGGTTTGATTAGAGATCGGAGAGGGGAACCGTTTGAGTTTCGAGATATGTTGGCACCAGGTTTAGAGATTTTATTAATTGGAGCGAAGATACCTGTAAATAATAACATATCTGTATAATATACCTGTAAACAAGCCAACAATGAGGCTGATGTCCCCCGCCGACATCCCAAAATAAACAGATGACACATATTCATTAAAGATACATTATGGGAGATAAGATAAAGGGATGGCAGTTCTTGCTATAATAGTTAAAAACTAGATAGTGTAAAGGTAATTTGCTGAAAATTTCAGTCAAATTTATCCACTATGAGCCGAGAACAAAGCGGGTGAATTTTTCGCATAGTCTCTGTCATCATTACTAAAATCATTAATATAAACAGCATAGTCTCGATTATCCACTGTTTTGATTTAATTATCAATGGCCGTTAAGCGGCATATAGGAATCTAATCAAGCCAACATCGAAGGCTAGCCTTGACATCGAGAGTTTATTATGGTCTGGATAAGTTAATTAATGTCTAATTGATAATTTAGATAACATTTCAGGCCTAAAGAAAGACTTGTAATAAGCAGATTTAGCCCTTGAATAATGCATGTTTAATCACACATTTACTTTTTTCAAAAGTATCGAGCAATCAAACTATATACTAAGTTTCATCACTCTTTATCAGATAGAATCAAGATTATCGTGTCCCAAGGCATCAACCAATCAAATTGCTTATCTCTGCTTACCCTAAGCAGAAAATGTTCATCTTCGAACTCCATCAAGGCATTGACCTCAGTAGCGGATTTTCAGTGAGGCTGAAGATCTGATCTTATTTAAACGTAGGCCTACAATGTACGTTAAATCCTTGTAAGTTTTCGGTTATATCTTGCTTAATATATTGTATCCACATGACGTCATTTATGGGTATATAAAGTTACATTACGTTTTTAATGTTAGCAACTACCTTGGCTCTAACTTTAAAAACTAAATAGGCCCTCCAGCAACTGCTGCCTCAGGCCTTGGTGGAGCTTAATCCGCCACTGATTTACCTAATAAACACCTACACCAAGTTTGTACATTCTAGCTCAATTAGAAGGAGAGTTATTGTGTCCCAAAAAGAGTGACAGACGGACGGACGGACCAACGGACGTACAGACAGACGAACCTGTTTTACTTGTCCCCTGCTTTCCTCGAAAGGCAGGGGACAATAATAACATTCAATTTTTATAATTCTGGAAGAAGTAACACAAGGCATTAACCCAGTAATATTATAAATCTTTTATAGTTACTTCCATTTACTGTGGAAAATATAATATGGATAGGGAGAGAGACAGAGAGAGACAGACAGACAGAGAGAGTTTAACGTCCACCCGACACAAATCAGGTCATTTGGGACTAACATATGGTTCAATTTATTTCAATAATTCGCTTGCGCGTAGGGGTCTTTAGCTGTGGGAGGAAACTGGAGGACCCGTTTTTTGTTTTTAAACACGGTGGCTGTATCTGAGAATCAAGTCTATGGTCCAAAAAGTAGACAAAATGAAAGATAATATACAAAATAGTCAATTTATATAAAGATAGGTTGCCGCTCAATGAAACATATGCCCACAGCAGCTATATTGTCCGAGCAGTCAACGAGAATGGTCGCATATTTAATCTTTTGTAGGTAGTGGGGGGAATTTATAGGACATTTTCATACAGATCAGATTATAATTTTCAGGTTTTGACGTATGGACAGACGGAGGCAATGGCAATATACAACTACATTTCCACGTGGGCGTATAAAAACTTACCAATATATAGGCCAACATTTAAAGGTCACCGGAAAAGCATCAATTTTTTTTTTAAATAATGCAAGTAATTATGTCAACATATCCTTTCCATAAGTATAACCCGAGCCTGAACGTCAATAATACCTGCAACAGGTAAATTTCAACATTAGTAATTTCCGCCGTTCTCCGTCGGTAGTCGGAACTTTCCGTCAATAAGCAATCCGTGAGGTCATTTTAGTCCTTCTGCACATAGAAATATAGACTAGAATATGAGCAGAAGGACTAAAATGACGTCAAATTTACGGAAAGTTACGACTACCCACGGAGAATGGCGGAAATTGCTAACGTTGAAATTTACCTGTTGCAGGTAATATTGACATTCGGGTTCGTGTTATACTTATGGAAAGGATATGTTGACATAATTACTTGCATTATTTAAAAAATTTATGAACCTTTTCCGGTGACCTTTAAAGATAAATAAAGAAAATTCTGATTATATAAAAACTTACCATGATTAGGTGGGCATTTAAAGTAAGATATTCCTCCGATACCACCATCATTTTTACCTGCAGCCTCGTCCAACTCAATACCTGCCCATACACCTGTAGCAAATTCTGTTGGTCCACAATATTGTAATACACCTGTCTAGAGGAGAGAATTAAATACAGGTAAAAGATTGTTGAGGAGTAATATAAATCAAAATATTTGTGGTGGAGAGAGGGAGAGAGTGTATTTAAAGTCTATTCAACTTGATTCAACACATACAAGATCATTTCAGGAGTAACATATGGAACAATTTCAATAATTCACTGTGTAGGTAAGGCAAGCAACTCTACTCCTATCTGTGTAGAGGGGGGTTGGATGGCTGAATGATTAGCACATGCGCGCTGTATCATAAGGCCTGTCATTGAGTCAACTCGCATGGTTTCGAATCCCCGGTTGTACGTGACAAGGAGTAGGGTTGCGTGTCCAATCTCGTGGGTTTTCTCCTGGTCCTCCGGTTTCCTCCCACTGCTAAAAGACATCTACGCGCAAACGAATTATTGAAATAAAATTAAACCATATGTTAGTCCCAAAATCACCTAGTCTGTATCCAGTGGACGTCCCTCCCTCCCTCCCCTCCCTTCCCTCTCTCTCTCTCTCTCTCCCCCTCCCTCTCTCTCTCTGTCTCTGGATCAAACCTACACCACTTGACTCAATAACAGATCTTATGATCTAAATCATTTCAAAATATTTGAATCCCTTCAAGTGCCTGTGTGTACAGACGAACATGGGTGATGTCATTATTCAACCACATATAAAAATACCTGAGTATATTCCATACCTTTGTTCCACCCACGATTATTTTATCACCAAGTTTTAATCCGAGGGCCTGTAACGTGACTTTACTTTGTATGAGATCATAGTTAGGGGGAGGTTGTTTCGGAGAAACAGGGGTGGCATCTAATAATGTTTTCTTCACTTTAACTGCTAATTTCGCCATATCAGACAACTGGTCAAAACTACCGGCATCAGGCACACAATCTGAAACATAACAAAAACAAATTACCCAAGCACTAAAATGGAGGTGAACCAGTGAGAAAAATGCTGGCTGGATAGCCACAGGGTCTGTGATATCCCCCCCTCCCCCCCCACTGGAAGCAGACGTTGAGCTCCACGAACCTACTACTTACCTATTGGAAGTCTGTTGAGATCATCCCGTAAACTTGGATTGGCGCCGTTATGTAGTAAAACTTTAATTGCTTCGTGTGCCAGATTGGAAGCGGCGATATGTAAAACGGTACCTTGTTCAAACTCAGCACATGGACTATCAATGTCTGTAAAATATTAAAATACTATTATTATATTTTAATAAGATTCTATGAAATGTACTGTGTCTAATATGTTCGATCTCTGCATTGGCCGGGAAAGTCCATCCAGATTTCAGGAATCGTTCCCCCTTGTCAGAGATGCAGGAGAAAGGGCCTGACAAGGACAGCTGTCTAGTCATTCGGATGGGACAGAAAACCGAGGTCCTGTGTACACATTGGCATGCATGTAAAACATCCCATGACAGTTGGAATTTGATAGAAGAGTAGGTCGTAGTGCCACTGTACGGGCAAAATTTCCCTCATAGCACACTGTATGGCGTATGACCGTCTTCATTAGCCCAGTTCAAAGCAGAACAGTAGGTCGTTATACCCCATTTCATTTCATTTCATTTCTGTGTCTAATAAAAGTACATTGGTCTCTAGGTATATTCAGGTATTAGGTAAGGTCATGTCAAGCATTGGGGTAGTTCAACACTGCGCAGTAAAAACAGAACAGGTAAAAAGGGCAGAGGTACAAGTGGAATAATAGGCAAAAAGAGACATTTTCTCAGTGTGCAAAACTGAGGTCCTGACTTTGATCCTAATGTTCCTTAAAGTTGCAATTGCAAATTTTCAAGTTATATTTTTAAAATGTATTAAAATAAAGCTTTAAATAGATGGTATCCATAAACAGTCCTACTTTGTTAAAGAATAATCCTATTAATCCTATAATTCGCTATTGCCAGCTGAGAAATTGGCAAAAATATCATTTTAAACTTCAAATTCCAACGTTGGAAAATGGCTGCCCCATGTTGTCAATAGCAAAACAGGGGAGGTAATTGTGTTGTTATTTCCTGTGTCATAGATTTTTAAGGGTTGGAAATAATGCCCATGATCGTATAATAGTGATTTGATAACCCATTGAGCAAAAGACAGAAATAATTATATTTTGACTTTCTTAGAAAATTTGAAATTCTCGCTTTAAGATTTTTCAGCATGATTTTTGCATGTTGGTGTTGCAGGATTGAAAGGAATATTGTGTAGTTGTTCAGATGGAACGAAAAACCAAGGTCCACTGCACATAGAAGACCACTTGCCAGATGGAATTAGATGAAGAATGGGCAAGCCGTCCAGGCAAAATTTACATCATAGGACACTGCTTGGCGTTAGCCTCTCTTTATTTTCACAGTTGGTACAAAACAACAGAAGATTTACCCAGAGTATTTGTTATCTAATTCTAGAAGAGTAGAAGATTTACCCAGAGCATTTGTTGTGTAATTCTAGAACAGTAGTTATTTAATTCTAGAACAGTAGAAGACTTACCCAGAGCATTTGTGGCTTTAAGAAGTATTTTTATAACGGGAACAACGTCAAAATACGCTGCGTAGTGTAATGCTGTCATCGTGGTCCATCGACATCGAATATTAACATCGGCACCTTCTCCGAGCAGAAATGCTACAACTTTAGCAGCTAAATCTGCGTCTCCCATCCCGCCTGCTCCTGCTTTACTCGCATAGTGTAACAATGTCATATCTGTCAAACCATCTCGATCGTTTATATTAGCCCCTCTTTTTAATATCTGACAACAAAATAAACAATTCATATTATTTTTATCTTATCTTGCTATAATAAGTAATTCAAAAATAGGTTGCACTGCAATGAAACATACACCCACTATAGCTAAATCATCCTATGTAGGTAATTGGGGGCCTTTACCCTTTACAAGACAATTCCATACAGATCAATCATAATTTTCATTGTTTGAGGGTTCACAAGGTTCTACAAACTGAAACAAGGGCCTTAACTCTGGAAATAATTTACAGAAATTGCTGAAATTGAACAGGCTTTTTCGGTTTTTTAATTTAAATAATGCATACCGGTACAAATTTCATACAGATCGGATGATAACTTTTGTCATTTGAACGTTCACAAGGTTCACAAAGTAAAACAAGAGCCATAATTCTAGAAGTAATTGATGTAATGACAAATCTGGGTGTATAAAAATAGATAATGAAAAATGAATATATTGAAAATTTTATTCAAATATAATTAGTCTCTGCTAATTGTTGACAACGAAAACTTTGCGCACTGTTGTCACCATCTAGTAGCTTGGGACGAAAAGCTGAGATTACATGTGCATGCTAGCCTGCACATAATAGAACCCATACCAGTTGAAATTCGTTGAAGAGTAGACGAAACCCCTGTTGCTGGGCCAAATTCCCTCCCATCAAACTGCATGGCGTATGAAAGTCTTCATTAGCCTGGTTGGTGCAGAAAATTACGTTTAAACCCAATTTCATTTCTTTCCGTCATTATCTATTCCATAACAATTGTTAGTATTTATATACTCTTCAAAAAAAGTAGGGGATATTCAGAAACAATACAAAACTGTGGAAATGCACTGCTGTTTTTATTAGAGGTAACCAGTGTATGTTAATAACAGGCCAATTACCTACACATGAACATAAACAGTTCATATGGGCGACTTATCTCGCAAGGAGATACACCGTCAAAAGTGAAAATGGACGTTTTTGATTTTTGTCTTAATAATGAGTAATTGCTCCACCAATCCTCAGACATTCAGCAATTCGTCGTGGCATGCTCCTAATCACCCATCCAATCACGATTTTGGGCAATCTGACCCACTCCTCTTGCAGAGCTACAGCCAATTCCTGCAGTGTTGTCGGTTGACGTCGCCGAACACGTCTCCCGATCAAATTAAACGTAACACACTAAAGCAAAGATACGCTAAACAGTAAATCTTATGCAAGAACAGATAGGAAAGCAAACATGGATAGATAAACCAGCAAGCGGAAGTTTTTATCAATCCTTCCTTTAAGTGTCAAATTTGACAATGAACCCCTCCCACGTGTAAGGTGCTTTTGCGTGTGGCATGTGCAGCTCAGTGGTTCTGTTGGGGCGATAAGTTCTTCATCTGTGAACATACTCTCAAAGCATGTCAAATGTCCATGACTATTTATCATATCACAACCTGCATAGGTATTTGCATTTCAATATCCCCTACTTTTTTTGAAGAGTATATTTTTTTCTACCTCGTTCACAAGAAGTTGGTATTTAAATTGTCTTACCTCGTTCACAAGAAGTTCTATATTGTGTTGTGTCTGCGGTGTCCATTGCCGTAAAATGGCAAATATTTCTGGGACTGTGGTGTTAGGATTCAATAAAATATCACGACAGTCTGAACATCCTGGATCAAAGAAAGATAACTCTTGTCTCTGACATCTCTGACACAGAGGCGGATCAACACATGGATGGATCATGGGTTTTTCTAAGGGAGGTAACTCTAGTTCTAATGGTGTCACACCACTAATGTTACCATCTTCTTCCAGTGTCATCCTGAAAAATATTTTAAAACACATTAGCGTTAATGAATAAGGATGTAAATAATGGAAAGATGAATACGGATGTAAACAATGGATTGATGAATAAGGATGTAAATAATGTAATGGATTGATGAATAAGGATGTAAACAATGGATTGATGAATAAGGATGTAAATAATGAATACGGATGTAAATAATGGAATGATGAATAAATGAAATGAAATGGGGTTTAACGTCCTACTGTTCTGCTCCTAACCTGGGCTAATGAAGACGGGCATACGCCATACAGTGTGCTATGAGGGAAATTTTGCCCGGGCAGCGGCGCTACGGCCTACTCTTATATCGAATTCCAACTGCCAAGGGATCTTTTACGTGCACGGCAATGTGTACACGGGACCTCGGTTTTCGTCCCATCCGAATGAATAGACAGCTGTCCTTGTCAGGCCCTCCCATCCTTCATCACTGACAAGGGGAAACCACGCCGGAAAATCTGAATGAACTTTCTCGGCCAATGCAGGGATCGAACACCTGACCTCCAGGTTAGCGAGCCAGCGCCTTACCCACTTAGGAATGATGAATAAGGATGTAAATAATGGAATGATGAATATGGATGTAAATAAGGAATGATGAATAAGGATGTAAACAATGGATTGGTGAATAAGGATGTAAACAATGAATTGACAAATAAGGATGTAAATAATGGAATGATGAATAAGGATGTAAATAATGAATAAGGATGTAAATAATGTAATGATGAATAAGGATTTAAATAATGTAATGATGAATAAGGATTTAAATAATGGAATGATGAATAAGGATGTAAACAATGAATATAGATGTAAACAATGGATTGATGAATAAGGATGTAAATAAGTTGACAGGGAAAATTTCAAAAAACTTAATTCAGTTTCACTCTGTGTTTGGATGCCAGTTTGAAATTGATGCAAAGGGTTGCTCCCTCCCTCTGAACGCAACTGGCACTGTACAAGATGATGATTATTTAACAGATATACACCACACTTAGATAATAACAATCAACAATCCAGGACAGGTGTCAATTGAAATATAATCAAATCAACAAACTAGGACAGGTGTCAAGTAAAATATAATCAATATTCAACTTGTTTTTACACATATTGACATATATATCTAAGATATAGGACAAACTGTCTGAGCAATATGTTTTAACCTACAAATTATTTTTATGCTAGGTAGGTCCAGGGCATAAATAAAATGTAGTTTCATGACTTAATGTCATTTTGAGACACACAATATGAACCCTTCCTTGGTAGCATATCACCCCTCCAACTCTCTGCCCCCTACCTCCCTGAACATAATATACATCAACCCCTTCTTCTAGGTAGCATACCACCCCTCCAGCTAACCTGCCGCCTACCTTCCTGAACATAATATACATAAACCCCTTCTAGGTGGCATACCAGACCTGCAGCTACCCGGCCCCTACTCCCTAAAACATAATATACATAAACCACATCTTGGTTGCACACCACCCTTTCACGCCTCCAGCTCCCCACCCCCTACCTCCCTAAACATAATATACATAAAACTCTTCTTGGTTGCATACCCCCACCCCCGTCATCCAAAAAAACATAATATACAAAGATGTGACAATGGTTGGTAAATGTTTATAGAGATGTTTTAAGTTCTCTGAATAGTGTGCTGTTTAATGTATTCAAGTTGTTGGTCTAATTAGGTACCTTTCAGATTAAAATCAGTCAATGACGTCATAGTCTGGTAATCCAAATATGGTCTCCCATGTTAGAAAAAGGTAGCTTCTGTGCTGGTGACCAATCATGTAAATGAAGTACCATGCCTGGTCAATTTCCCGGGGGTCAGTCTATGACTCGTGAGAGTTTCCTCTTTATAAGAAAAAAAGTATGGCTCTATTTGTTTGGAACCATAAATTGGTCTAAAAGCACACTATGTAATATGAGTGTATACAAAGTGATTTATATTCATATTCAACCTCTTACGTATAATCAGCCCATTGTTCACATTTTTTAATATTATTTTATCATTTGTGAATCAGCCATTACTATTTAGGATCCCACATTTTCACAGCAACATAACAACATCAGTATTGATTGAAATGGACCAATATTGAATTCTAATTTGTGTTTTTAATTTCGAATATTATGGAAAATATTGAGTTAGAGACTTAGCTTCTTTAAGGTTCTTTTAGATTATCATACAGCGTTCCGAGAGAAACATACCGTTACCCAGCTTGTCTTAGAGACTGAGATAGCCATTATATGTTTTGATGTTGTTGTTCTTAGTGTTTAATGTTCGCTTCCAGCGAAGGTGATATCGCAGACAAGTCTTACATTTCATTTTCATTATCTCAGCGCATGAGCAGGGGTCTTTCCTGTAGGAGGAAACCGGAGTACCCTGAGTAAACCCACGAGGTTGAGAAGGCGCCCCTATCTCCAAGCCACATACACTCACACCAATGATTGAAACCACAGCCGCAAGCCAGAGGTGACCGGCCAGCTAGAGGTCGAAGCGCAGCACTCTAGACCACTAGGAAATCCCAACCCCGTCATAGGTTTTGAACGTGTTGGAGGTTTAAATACCCATAATATAGTTGCTGTAGAAAATATTATAGTTGCTGTATTGTTTCTGTATTATAGATACTTTGAATTTGAAGTTTTCATAGACAATGCAAGGATCGTGAGATTGGTATAGGTCAGTGATTCTCAACCAGTGTGCCGCGAGATCTTCCTTAGTGTGCCGCTGAATTTTGAACGGCACACTAAGAAAATGCGAAAAACCACATGATCCCAATTGAGTATTCGCTGATAAGTTCATAGCTGGGTTTTTCTTTACTTAGCTTGCGTCATTCTATGTGTCTATGACTAGTCTCTGTCTACGGTTGTATGCCGTCTAACTTGCCATGTTTTTATTTTGCAAAATTCAAATATTTTTCATATATATTATTTAGCCAGGTGTGTTTCACGGTGTGCCGTTGGCAAAAAATGGTTGAGAACCACTGGTATAGGTGTACACTTACTTGCACATTCTGCATAATCCCCATCGTGGTTGTATACTTGAATATAAATTTAATGAAGGAACAGCCTCACTAATCTCTGACATAATTTAAGTGATTTGATGAAACAGTTGCCGTAGTAACTACTATATAGAACACATGACCGTTACGAACAAACTACAGGTAAAACAGCCATTGACTTTTTACCCTTTAGTACTTAGATTGCCCCAAACCGACCCTAACTTGGGCACCTGAGTGTGTCTGGAACCAGGGCACCTTAGACCACCCTTTCTAAGGCACCTTAGTGTGCTTGGAACCGCCCTAACCAGGGCAAATTAAGACTGCCCTAACTAGGACACCTTAGACCATCCAAAACCACCCTAACTAGGTCTCCTGCGACTGCAACAAACCGCCACATCAAGTACACTGCTGTGGCACCTGCATGAACTAGTAAATTGTCCTATAATATAGAAAGCTATTTTGGACAGTTTGAGACGGTCTGAGGAACAGCTGTTTCAGTCCGTCTAGGGATATACCAGTATTAATAGATCACTTTTCTGTAATGTTCTTCAAGGAACTAGATGTAGTCAATATTTATATCTACCGAATACTAAAGGGTTAAAGTCAATGACTGTGTCCTCATCACGTCAAATCTTGTTAACACATATTACCCTAATTTTTTATTCATTACAAAAAAAGCGACAAAATCCAAATGGCTGTATTTGCATTCTAATCTCTATCATTACATTGTCAGGGTTAATTATAACACAATAATATGAAATAGAAGTCAGTACGTTGTGGGGGGGGGGGGGGGCTGACGTTTGGACAAAGGTTCTCTTCTCTCATCATTACGCAGTGACTCAGTGAGTAAGACACTCGCTGACCCCGAGGTCTCTGTGTTGGCCAGTGGTACAGTACAGAGTTCTGACAAGGACAGTGTCTAGTCATATGGATGGCACGAAAAATCGAGGTCCTGTGTACACATTGGCGTGCACATAATAGATCCATTGACAGTTGAAAATAAAAATAAGAGTGGGCAAATTTCCGCCCCTAGCACACTGTAAGGTGCCGAGTCAGAGCAGTAATGATGAACAAAAAGAAACCCATTTCATTTCTCTTGGGCTTTAACATCCACTTGACACAAACACTAGGTCATTTCGGGACTAACATGGTACAATTTTATTTCAATAATTCACTTGTGTGTAGGGGTCTTTAGCTGTGCAAGGACACTGATGGAAACTGGAGGACCCACAGGTTGGAAATGAAATGAAATGGGGTTTAACGTCCGATTGTTCTGCTCCGAACTGGGCTAATGAAGACGGGCATACGCCATACAGTGTGCTATGAGGGAAATTGTGCCCGGACAGAGGCACTACTGCCTACTCTTATATTGAATTCCAACTGTCAAGGGATCTTTTATGTGCACGCCAATGTGTACACGGGACCTTGTTTTTTTGTCCCATTCGAACAACAAGACAGCTGTCCTTGTCAGGTCCTCCGGTCCTGAATAACTGACAAGAGAGAACCACGCTGGAAAATCTGGATGAACTTTCTCGGCCCAGGCTAGCGAGCCAGCGTCATACCCACTTATCCACCGTGACCCCCTAATCTTTTGTGAAACTTGTATTCCATATAATTGTGCCATGTTTTATTCTCTGTAAGTTAAAGCAATAAAGCTGCATTAATAATAAGGGAAAGTCACAAATTTCAACATTTGTGTCCACACGAATAACTTGTTGATTGATCTCGACCCATCCGGCTCCCTTGGTTATTCGTATGGTCCCTAATGGCTTTCTATATCTCAAAACTTTTACATTCACATGTACAATCTAAATTTTTACAAAAGCCAATAGCAAATAAATAAAAGTAAGTAAAATAAAAACAACAATATAAAACTCACGCTTTACTATTAATAAATTTTCCTGGTTATATTTAGTACGTTTCCTCTTTTTCTGTACATGTATATACAAACTACTCTAATAATAACTTAAAAACTTATCCTCAAAACTTTTCTTGTGTGTGTAAAATAACTCTATTTAATATTCGCTTCCACTTTTCTCACGATTTACACATTCTAATTCAATTGGCTACGCCACTACAGTGAACTAATAATTAATATTCACCATTCAAAAGAAGATAAAATATGGCAACAATGTGTAATAAACAGAGTGATTAATCCAAACTTCTACAGTTTCAAAACTAACGTTTCTCACAAATTACACATTTTAACACACTTGGTTACAAGTGAAGTAGTTCACAATTTTCACCTAGTGGTTATAAATACACAAAACAATATCCAAAACAAAAATAGAATTATCAAACGGACCAATCTCAAGTTCTACAAAACTAACTCAAGACATAATACACAAAACAATATCCATAAATATTAATGAAGTCCAACTGTTATAGCTGTGTTTGGTCGTTTGTATAAAGATATAGTTGTGACAATATGTCTCTCTAGTCTAGTAATTCAATTATTAGGTGATTAATCCTATCAATGTTGATCTTATCAGGGACTATAATATATAAAGATTATCTAAAACCAATCAGGCATGCCGTAATTAAAACACACCACATGGTCTTTAAAGGAGAGAAAAATAGTTTAACAGTTTGACGTCTGTCTACTCGTGACAAGGCACAGGGTCGTCTGATTTACCTCGTGGGGGTTTTCTAGGTCCTCCCACTGCTATAGACACCCCCTCCCCCCCCCCCCGACCCATGCACAAGCAAATTACTGACATGTTAGTTCAGAAATGACCTATTTTATGTCAAGTGAATGTTAAACCCCATCTCTCCCTCTTTCATGTATACCATATCCTGAGATAAAATCTATCTCCAAGTTGATTACATTTCATGTTCCAGTCTAACTACATGAAATACATCCTGGTACTGACAAGACAAGACAAATCGCACACATTAAATAATCAACAAACTGGCCAGCTACTGATAGAGTGTGAAATATTAACTTTTTTCTGCTGCAAATTAAATTCTAAAACAATGTTTTTAAACATACATTATGCAAGAGCTAAATCTGCCAATTGCAGGTCTTTCTTTAGGCCTGAAATGTTATCTAAATTATTAATTAGACATTAATTCACTTATCCAGACCATAATCAACTCTTGATGGCATCACTAGCCTGCGATATTTACTGGATTATGATCCCATTTGCTGCTCGACTTAAATTCATAATTTTAATCATGAAATGATCGAGACTATGTTTTTTATCCTACTGACTTCAGTAATGATGATCGAGGCTAAGCCGAACTTTCAATCACTTAATTCTCGGTTCATAGTGGATCAATTTGACTAAAATTTTCAGCAAACTGCCTTTACATTATCTATTTTTTAATTATTATAGTGAGAACTGCCAGCTATTTATCTTATCTCCCATAATGTATCTTTAAATTATTAAGAAAAAAGAAACAAATGTGTTGGATGGAAATATATCTGGATAAAAGATATTTTCTATTTAGTATAAATGAGCAGATAAAATAGTTCGTGAAACATGAACATTTTAAGTAAAAATGAATAAAATTAAATATAAGTCAGTCATCACATTTTCTGGTGAAATTTGTAACTGTGTATATAAAGTGTAAGTTATCCTATATTCACTGTGTATTATAAAATGTAAGTTATTAGGTATATTACACATTAGATAACTGTGATTTACCCCTTTATTTCAATCATGTATATAGTAAAGCATGAGTTAGTGTAGATATAACACTGTGAGTTATTGATAGTATGGAATATACTATATTTAATATTGTGTATTGTATAGAATGAGTTACTTGTATATAAGTATATATTGTGTATTGGATCCCATGGGGTAATATTGTGTATTGTATATCAGGAGTTACATGTATAATAGATGTGAGTTAAGTAGAAATATACCATACTGTCCAGATTACAGAAGGCCATGTGTGTATTAAATATTAGATCATGAATGAACTATGCATTACGTGTATATCCACTGTAAGTTATTGGTGATATAGTAAAGTTAACCACCAACTAATATATGAATGAAGTATGGTATTTCTACTGACAGTTATTGGTGATATCATAGAGTTATTGTATAAACTAATATATGAATGAAGTATACTATATCTACTGTAAGTTATTGGTGATATGGTTGAGTTATATCGGTATTTATAATAAACACTACCGTAAACATGGTCTGCCTATTTTAAAATATGGCTGATCATCCCTGGTCTAAACAATTTTACTGATATATCACTTGTCTAAATTTGTCATCTCATCGGAATCTAAGACAGATAAAATCTTATTGTATCTAAAAACTCCATTATAAAGGCAACATACAAAACATTAAATACATGATGAATATATTTGACCCTGACTAATTAAATACTATAATTACATGCATGTAAACCATGTGCATCTTTAACATATGTAGCCTACTATTAAAGGCTATTAAAGTAGATGACCAGCCTCATTGACTCTACCCCTGAGACACCTACTAACATAATCAGGACGCCCCCCACCCTACCCTTTTGAACATAAATATAAAAAAAGCAGTAAACTCAACTGAGTAAAGCTGCATGCCAATCGATCATAAATATGAAATAAAATATATTTACACAAACAAAGATGTAATAATGGCTTTTCAAAACAAAGACAGAAATAGAAAAAATAATTACACACAAACCTTATTTATATTATAAAGTTGTAAATTCTAAACAACAGCTGATAAATGGGTTGTAGACGGTTAGTACCATTAATTATATAATGGGGAATATAGTCATGCAACTTATTTACTTTGGAATGGATTAAAAACGTCTGGGTCACATGCTACCGTTCGAATATAGAAAAGAAAACCTACAAATTCTATAAACTTTTTGGTTTTTCTTCAATATTGTGTACCTCTATATACCGGAAGTACAATTTTTACTTATACAGCCTCGTCTTCGATCAGGAAAAACACATATTTGGATTATCCAGCCACCATTTCGCGATTTCTTTTTAACTAAACAAAAGTTAGAAGACTTGATAATCGAAAAGTTGAACACGTGCGATTTAGCGGTTTATTTAAATATTGATAGTATGCCATGAGTCATATGAATGTTATGTAAACTGTGTCATAAATATGATTTAATCGTGTGTCAGCCAAATATCGCGCGAAAATACAAAACAGGTGTAACAGTAAATATTCTGACCCATCTGGGTTAATGAAAATATACTCTATAGTCTGTCATGAGGGAAATTTAGCCCAGAAAACGGCGCTGTTAATTGGCCAGGCCAGGCCCGTGGACGGGGGGTGGGGGAGGCAACGGGGACACTAGCAGCGGCTAAGTGAGAGGGACACAATGACGAGCTTTAAATTACGTCATTGTTTTGAGTTTTTGCGCCCCCTTGAGTTTTTGTGCCCCTCGCAAATGGCAAAAAATCACGCAGTTTCAATGCGGTTTTCAACATTATATAACCATAATCATAATGCTTAACCAGTGCCAAACATATACCGTGGGTCAGATATGCTACAAATGACTCTAGCATGTTCCACACAGCCCAAGATGTGGACTCGCATACAAATATTGTTTTTTGGGGCCCGGACGGGTTCTTGTTCCTCGTGTAAATTCATGGGTCACCACGCCCCCGGACACTAGCCCTGTCGAGGGCCCCTGAGCCTAGAGGGACCGGGAGGTATGCTGAGTAATGTTTTAAAAAATATTTGTTGGTATAAATTGTTACTTGATCGTAAAGTAGAAGGAAACCAGTGACTTGTCTTAATGTGGGACCCAGGGGCGTGGGTAGGATTACAATCAGATTGGTGGATTGGTGAATTAAAATTTTTAAAGCACCTGTCCGGGCCTTCGCGCCGTGAGGCTCAACCGTCCTCGTTCAATCTGAGGCTCTCGTCGCCTTCAGGGTGTCTGGACCAGGGCAGGAACCGGGCCTGTAGAACGGCACAATGATGATGAATTCGGTTTTTCGTCCCACGAGAGTGAGACTGTGCGTCCCACGAGAATAAGACTGTGCCTTACTAGACCCCCCCCCCTCCGTCCGTCCTTCGCTTGTTTATTAAACAATATTATCTCTATATCAGGACCGGATTAAGCTAATACGGGGCCTGAATGTTGGACAGACGACCCTACTCCGTGTCACCTATACAAGCGTGAAATCGAAACCACGTAACTCAGTGGCAGACCTATTCGCACCCCACCGACTTCAGTTTCAGATACGTTTATAATTATAACAATAGATACTAAATCCGCATTAAATAATAAACTCAGGGGGACAGAATGGCGCGGCTATAGGTGTAAATGTCCCTCTAAATAACACGGGACAATTTCCCCGCTGCTCTTAAAGTTTTGCCGAGTGTCCATAATGTATTTCTTTCGGCGATCTTTATAAACCTTCAGGGTTAAGATGGTTCGACGGGTCACTCTTACTTTGAATTCTCTGGCCTGGTTTCTATGAGCGAACACTTGTCTGCGATATCACCCAAGCTGGAAGTGGACGTAAAACCCCATGGACGAACGCACGAAAGCTGGTTCAACGAGTCACTCTATGTTCAAAGCAGGGATTATTGATATTGAGGCACGCCCGTGTCTGTGGGTACTAACATATTCTAGTTATCTCCCTTGATCCCCCAATCCATCCAAATATTAACCCATATTATCTAAAATCAATCTATTTCTGTAAAATATTGGGCCAATATTACCAAGAAATGAGATTAAAGTACAATTATTTGAATACAAACACGTTTATTTGTGGAAAGTAAATTATTTATTTATTGTTTAGCCTTCCATTAAAATTTATCACTGATACTATAAATAGACGTTTAAAAATGGGTTTAACGTCCCACTGTTCCGCTCCGAACTGGGCTAATGAAGACGGGCATACGCCATCCGTCTACTATGAGGTAAATTTTGCCCGGACAGCGGCACTACGGCCTACTCTTATATCGAATTCCAACTGTCAAGGGATCTTTTACGTGCACGCCAATGTGTAAACGGGGACTCGGTTTTTCGTCCCACTCGAACGACTAGACAGCTTTGGGTATTATTCATATTTAGTCCCAATCCAGGCGTGTACATTATCCCGATTGGCGCAGAACAGTTGGACGTTAAACCCCGTTTCATATCGTTTTCTCCTACAACTATACTGGTGATCACCATCACAAATATGCCCAGTTGACTCAATGACAGACCTTATTATACTACGCGCACGTGTTAATCATTCAGCCATCCAACCCCCCCACATTCACACTAGAATCTATATGTGATGTAATTGATGGAAATGAAATGAAATGGGGTTTAACGTCATACTTTTCTGCTCGTATGCTGGGCTAATGAAGACGGGCATACGCCATACAGTGTGCTATGAGGGAAATTTTGCCCGGTCAGCGGCACTATCGCCTACTCTTATATCGAATTCCAACTGCCAATGGATCTTTTACGTGCATTCCAATGTATACACGGGACCTCGGTTTTTCGTCTCATCCGAAGGACTAGACGGCTGGCCTTGTCAGGCCCTCCGTCCTGCATCACTGACAAGGGGGAACCACGCCGGAATGTAATTGATGGACACACTATACTAATACAAAAACATAATATGGAACACAATTACAATTTTAATTAAAGCGACGTTTCGTTGAGGGTTCTCTCAACGTTTTCAAGCAGATGATAATGATAATAGTAGTATCTTGGTGCTTTATAACGTCTGCTTCCACAGAAGTGATATTGCAGACAAGACATAGGAGAGCCGAAGCTGCTTCCTGTTTTTAGAATATGATTATGAAAATAATATACAGAAGGTTTATATACAAAAACAAGTAACAACTAATTAATCTTAATCAATAGGAGAGAGAGAAATGGGGTTTAACGTCCACTCGACACAAACAAGGTCATTTCGGGACTAACATATGGTTTAATTTTATTTACATAATTCGCTTGCGCGTAGGGGTCTTTAGCAGTGGGAGGAAACCGGAGGACCCGGAGAAAACCCACGAGGTTGGACAGGCGACCCTACTCCTTGCCACGTACAACCGGGGATTCGAAACCACGCCAGTCGACTCAATGACAGACTTTATGATACAGCGCGCGCACGCTAACCATTCAGCCATCCAACCCCCCTTAATCAATATATATATATATTAAATCAATAGGGAAACCATTTAATATATTAAACACTATACTAAGTTTCATTAAAATCAGATTAAAACATAAAAATTATAGACCATCATATACACAACCTGGTTTTATTAAATATTAATTGATGAATTTCGTAGATATTGGACTCACACTGATCAGCAGTGAATTTTCGCTAGGCCGCTACAATCACTGATAAGGATGACATCGATGCGACTTAATGAGTCCCAAATATTAACTTTTTTCTTCCGTCAAATTAAATTCTAAAACATTTTTTCTTCATTTATATTAGAAAAATAAATAAAGACGTTTGAATTATTTGTAGGTAAAAATCATTTCCTATTTAGTGTAAATGGGTATTAAAATAAGTAAAATTCACCATTTAGCCCGAATCAGTAACGTCTTATGTAAACAATGTACGCGCTATTGAGCTAATGATTGACGCCGCGTGATGTGACGTCACGTATCGAAACAGTCATCTGTTACAGAGATATCTGTGAAACAGATTGTGTTGGACTGCATACCTAGTTTCTTTACACTCGGAGGAATAAAGCAGACTTTACTCACTATTTTGATCCGTTAAAATCGGAAGAAAAAATATTCTCATTGACAAAAATAAAACTTAAAATAGTTTAACCAAACTTGTTAGTGATGAACGCCACCATTGACTACAAACATAAATAATACAGGCATACATAAAAGCCCCCAAATGGCCGGGTGGAAATTTGGGCTTCTGATATCCAATATTTAACACAAAATGAAAATTTAAAATGGGGACACGAATCGTGTGCCAGAATGTTTTCGAGCGGCAGTTTTATGAAGCGACTCGCTGAAAGAGGCTAAACATAATATGTGTGTACTTTTGCACCAGAAGAGACTTTGAGAAATCTTAATCAACATTAATTGCTTTTGTAAGACTGTCCCAAAAGACAATATTACCATCGGGGTCATCAGTATACTCTACATAGGAATCATTTCTCATCAGCTGAACGAGCTCGTGTGGTAGATCTTTAACTGGAATATGCTCATAAATTATAACAATTACAACATTTCTACCGGTGCTAATACTTTCCATTAAAGCCATATTTAATTCATAGATGCACCAATAACTCTCGAGAAAATTCCTCGTCAACAGAATCAGAGTTTTCTTACTGTTTCTCACAGCGTTGGATATATTAGCAGCAATTACCTCACCTACCAAGAAATCCCGGTGGTGAATACAGAGTTGCATCCCTTGTTGCCTTTCAAGCTTTTCAATCATGTCCGTAACGACAATCTGGCGGTCGTCATCTGCGTACGAAACGAAGGCGTTGTATTCAAACTTGTTCTGAATATCATTATCAAGAGCAGTATGGTGACGGTATATGTTACGCCTTACATAATAGAAATATCTGAGTTTCCAGCGATATCTATATATTAGGCTAGACACGATAACTGCGATAATTACTACCAAGCTGCTGGTTAAAGCAACAATCATGGCGGTCCACGAAGCACATTCCTTTTCTAGATTTAACACTATGGCCCCCAGATCGTTTAATGAGATAATTTTTCCATGTGGGTTTTCACAGGTGTATTCATTTCTTCTGATGAAATTGGTGGTGTTAGTGTCCATCCATTTTAAGAAATCCAGGTTTTCACAAGTACACATCAGCGACTGACCGAGCATGTTTATCGTCAAAACTGTCCCCTTAGCCTGTTGCAGATCACCAAATTTTCTTAAAGACAGTGGAAGAGTAGATAAACTGTTGTTGCTAAGATCTATGGATGTTAAGTTGGTCATGTGATCAATATCCAACGACCATTTGTTCATTCTGTTATTAGATAAATCTAAATATTTTAAATTTATTTGCGCGTGTAGAAATACCGATGGAAGAACCGTTATATGATTGTCAGATATATCCAGTATTTCTAGCTTGGTTAACGGTTTAAATATACTTCCACTCGCGTCCGATGCAAACGTAAAACTTAAAAAATTCGAACCGATGTTTAAAGAACGAAGATTAATTGTTCCGATAAAAAAATCCTTATTTATTTCGTCACAGAAGTTGTTGGACAAACTGAGCCATTCCAGGCGGGTACATCCCAAAATTGGACCATGCCATTTATTTAAGATGTTTGATGAGAAATCAAGCATTTTCACTTGGTTTTTACCAAATTTCATTCGTGGAATGGAACACCTAAGTTTAATGCGGCTTATATTAACGTATTGAATGTTAGGTGGAAGTTTGATAACAGCTTGATTCCTTTTCTCCTCGCTTTTAGAAAACCAACTCAAAAATGAAATATGTGCATCCATATCCGATACCTGATCTTGCTTCAGATGACTGTCGCCATGGATGACCGCATCATTAAAATATGGACAGTTGTTGTAGAAATAAGGTCTGTCTGGTAATGTATTTTCGTCTTTAAGATGTGTGTTGAACTGATAACTTGCATCAATACATATAATATCTTTTAAATAATCGAAACCCAACATATATTCCCCAAACGACGGTACATTATCCCTAAAACTTATTATTTTAATGGTAGACGGTAGGTGATTAAGAACTATTTCGTCAAAGCGTTGAATCCTGTTTTGATCTATATAAAATTCCGTGATATTAAGATGCTGGAATCTAAAAAAAGTGTTCGCCAGTTACTTCAGTCGCCAGAGCAAAGTTTTCATAAATGGAACTTATATTGAGAATGCGAAAGGCTTTACTATGTAAATTTATTAAAGGTAAAGTTGCGGCATCAAATCCAAGTTGCCTGTTACCAGAGAGGTCGAGAAATTGTAATTTTGAAAACATGGTGAAGGCAAAACTATCAATTTTTCTGATTTGACAGTTACTTAACACCAGGTTTTCTATGTTAGGAACATTGATAAAAGAAGTATTCGTAATGTGGTGGGTTCTACAGTTACCTGTGAAACTCAGGTATTTAAGGTTCGTTAGACTAGACAAACCTCTTTCAAGTTCTATAATAGGTATGCCATCCATCTTTAAGCTTTCAAGAGAAAGCAAACCTGCAAAGCTTTCATTTGGATAGGACAAGTTAAATCCTGGTTTTATATAGTTTGAAGATATGTCCAGAGTTTGGAGATTTACAAGCGAAGTAAAAACTCCAATCGGGTAGTTTTCACGTTCCATATTAATATGGTTGCTGTGAAGGTCCAATTTGATCAGAGTTTTCAATCCATAAAAACTAAAACGGTTTAGTCGTGTTATACGATTGTTGGAAATATCTAGAAAAGAAAGTTTGGTCCCGTTAAATGTATAATCTGCTATATTTTCAATTAAATTATCTTGTAGTATTAACCAAGTTGTTTTGTCTGGTATATCAGGTGGAATTGCTCTTAATGAACGCCTAGAACAGTCCACTACAATGCCCATTAGTCCCTCTTTGTTTCTGCATTCACATTTTTTACACAACTGCGACTCAACAAATAGATCATCTCCACCGGTTAAAGATGTCCAAAAACCAAATATTAATATAAACTGTAACAATTTCATTCTAAATTAAAGAGAAAAAAATAAATCAACATATAATACACCCATTATCAGTTATCGCGCACAAGTCCTTTTCGCTCTATTTATTACAGGTTCTTTTCTGTCTATTTACTGTTTTTTTTTAAATTTTATAACATAATAATGTTCTTTTATATGTAGCCTATCTATCTACCCTCCATTTATTGTTTTTTTTTAAAATTATATAACATTATAGTATAATATAATACTAGGCTTTTATATATAGCCTATCTCCCCTTGGGGATCACGTGGCTAAGTGGGTAAGACGCTAGCTCGCTAGCCTGGAGGTCGGGCGTTCGATCCCTGCATTGGCCGAGAAAGTTCATCCAGATTTTCCGGCGTGGTTCTCCCTTGTCAGTGATGCAGGACGGGGGGGCCTGACAAGGAGTTGTCTAGTCCTTCGGATGAGACGAAAAACCGAGGTTCCGTGTATACATTGGAATGCACGTAAAAGATCCCTTGGCAGCTGGACTTCGATATAAGAGTAGGCGATAGTGCCGCTGCCCGGGCAAAAATTTCCCTCATAGCACACTGTATGGCGTATGCCCGTCTTCATTAGCCCAGCATAGGAGCAGAAAAGTAGGACGTTTAACCCCGTTTCATATCTATCTCCCCTTTAGCTACTCCACCTATAGACACATAAATCAATGAACCACTTCAGTCGATTACAAAAGAAGTAATGAAATATTTTTTTCAGGTGTCAAGATGCATAAAAATAAAAGAAACCAATTCATGAAAATAATGACATAACCTACCCGAGTAGCTTGATTATAAAACACCGTTTAATATCACTGGTCATCCGCAAAATGATGTTTTATATAACAGTTCCAGCAAGAGTACTATTTAACTATTCTGTGTGCAGACTAAGTACCATGCAGCTACGAGAACGTAACTAAAAACGTTGAGATATACACGGAGGGTTGAGAGATGAGGTTTGATATCTAAGTACCCTGCTGCTTTGTAAGTTTGTGTCGTATTGTAACATGCTAATAAACTGCATCGGGATAAATAGGGTACAAAAACACAAGTGAAATGCTGTAATGCAGGTAGTCAAACGCGGGTTTTTCCTTTGTTTAGTGGTTTGAATCATGGGTAAATTTAAGAAATTACTAAATAGATGTCTATGCGACTAATGAAATATGAGACAAATATGGGGTAAATATTACCATTATCATCTTTCGAACAACTTTTCAGCTTTTTTTAGTGTTGAAACCAGTAAATCGACGCCAATTTCAGATTTAAAGAAAATACTTCTATTCATGTATGTAATGTATGTGTATTTCTGGTGAATTATTTATTTGCATACATTTTCAGAAACAATGGAATAAGACTAATGACATTACAGAAAGTGTTTGAATATGCTTTTTACAGGGCAGAGTTCACAACGAGTAGAAGCGGTGATAAAAGCGGAATCGACATATAGCTTCTTCCTTTATTAACCCCCCCCGCCAAAAAAAAACCAAACAAACAAAAAGGTGTGATATACAGATGTTATATCCCAGAAACTCATCCAGTCAAAATTAATCAAAAAAAAATTGTGTCTTCGTTATGGTTTTATAAAACGTTAACGATGCATTTATATTGAAGGGGTGCCTCCATCTTCAATCTCTTGGACATTTAATCTTTGCTTTTTCTTTTATCATTTTCTTCTTAGTTTGTTCATTTATCATTTTTTAATGTCATTTCCACAGGTATCAACCCTGACAAGTGTAGACCGGACTTGAAAAGCACCTTCTCGGCCTACAACAGGACTCGAACCCGACACATTCTAGGCGAGAGTCCAGTGTCGACAACCTCGGTCCCTTGTCCAGTGTCGACAACCTCGGTCCCTTGTCGACAACCTCGGTCCCTTGTCCAGTGTCGACAACCTCGGTCCCTTGTCCAGTGTCGACAACCTAGGTCCATGTCCAATGAGTAGTAATGAGTAGTAATTGGCGTAACGTTCGAGTAAAGGGATGGAAAATAAAAATCCGGAAATGGCCATACTCCTCGCCGTGTTTCGTTTGATTACATCAAATCCCACTCACGAAAGCATATTTATGTTCCAGATTATGACTGGTCATAACAACCAATATCTGCGTAACAATATCATTTGGTTTAAACAGAGCTCAAAATTTGTTTACATAACGTTACGTCGTCATGACTCACGAAATTTATTACGCCCAATTAACCAGTGCATAGCAGAATATTGCAGAAAAACTAATTGCATGACAATACTGTTTGGAGACGAAAAATACTTTCACCGTTTTTGATACCTTAAATCACTGTCCAAAGTTTTAGGGAAGACCCCAGCTTAAATTAAGGGCTGTCATGTTGCTACACTTAGGTGGGATTTGATTGAATGGGAGGAAGAGACACACTCCCTCAAAAGCTCAAGTATCAGAAGTCAATCCAATAATGACCAGAGAGGGATTTCTCGGGCCATTGCTTCAGGAATATGGTAAAAGGCCAGAAAGAGTGGGGTATACCGAAAGACTTTGAAATATAATAAATATAATTATATAATACATTGCATTTCTATATAATGATCTTTGAGAGGCATTTAGTAACTGGATAGAGCAATAAACTATAACATACTTATGGAAGAACAATTACTGGTTTATTTAGGCGACGTTTCGAAGAATATTCTCTCAACGTTTTCAAACAAGTACAGTAACAAATGTGTAGGGCAATTATATATAGACACTGGTAATTGGTATAATTGCTTGTCTATATATAATTGCCCTACACATGGGGGATTGGATGGCCTAATGGTTAGCACGCGCGCGCTGTATCATACGCGTTTGTCATTGAATCAACTGGCGGGGTTTCGATTCCCCGGTTGTACGTGACAAGGAGTAGGGTCGCCTGTCCAACCTCGTGGGTTTTCTCCGGGTCCCCCGGTTTCCTCCCACTGCTAAACACCCCTACGCGCAAGAGAATTATTGAAATAAAAAAAATAAACCATATGTTAGTCCCGAAATGACATAGTTTGTGTCGAGTGGACTTTAAACCCCCTTTCTCTCTCCCCCTCTCTTGTCCTACACATTTGTTACTGTACTTGCTTGAAAACGTTGAGAAAATACTCTTCGAAACGTCGCCTAAATAAATCAGTAATTGTTCTGCCATAAGTATGTTTTATAGTTTATTTCTATATACGTTTACCTGCACTTAGCTTACACCCGGATATTAAATATAGGTATAATAAACTCGTCAGCGGCTAAAAATAACCCTTTATATACACGGACGAGAAGCAATTAGACCTGATTCCATATTTAAAGCGATAATTTCATATTTTCTAAGAAAGTCAAAACATAATTATTTCTATGTCTTTTGCTCAATAGGTTATCAACTCACTACTTTACGACCATGGGCATTATTTCCCACCCTTAAAAATCATTGACACAGGAAATAAAAACACAATTACCTCCCTTGTTTTCCTATTGCCTCCATGCATTAGCTACCTTCAAACGTTGGAATTTGAAGTTGAAAATGATATTTTTGCCAATTTCTCAGCTGGCAATAGTGACTTATAGGATTAATAGGATTATTATTTAACAAGGTAGGACGGTTTATGGATACCATCTAATTTAAGGCTTTATTTTAATAAATTTTAAAAATATAACTTAAAAATATGAAATTGCAGCTTTAAATAGAAAGTGGTATTTCAGCTGTATTTATAAGTTAATATCCTTTTACTCATAATCTAATCATCTAGACAAACTGTGAAATAAATAATGTACAATATCCGTCATTCAGTGGGAGGAGGTGGTAAAAACAAAGACAATTGACGGTATAAAAACTGTTAAAAACTCAATAATAGCATGTTTATTACAGTTAATCTCTCCTTTTTGTAGATATACAATATCGAATAATTATAGGTGAAATGTGTAGAGTGAACAACATAACACTATAGGTTTATCACAGTTATCTCCTCCAACCCACAGAACACCAAAATACATTCGATAGGTGAAATGAAATGAAATGAAATGGGGTTTAACGTCCTACTGTTCTGCTCCTATACTGGGGAATTCGATATAAGAGTAGGCGATAGTGCCGCTGCCCGGGCAAAATTTCTCTCATAGCACACTATATGGCGTATGCCCGTCTTCATTAGCCCAGTCGGAGAAGAATAGTAGGGCATTAAACCCATTTCATTTCATTTCATTTCATTTCATCTTCTATTACAGATATATCGAGATCTACCTGGCGATATTTATATATCCTATTAACTTATGTTGCCCCAGCGTCCCGTTTCCATGGCTAAGTCATGGTTTGAGCATCTAAATCCAGATAAAGGTCTCCTATATTTATAAATTATCAATTCAGATTGATTATCAATCCAACTTTACTGGTCTATTTTTGTTTTACACTGATGTCACATTTAACAATGTAACATTTTGTTTGTTTACCTTCGAGATACCAAAGTTTGTACGATTTTATAACTCCAATTACAAAACAATTATTCCAGTTTTATTAGGATTCATTTTCATTCCGTATTCTATACAAAAATCCTAATCCGCTACCTTGCTATCCATCTTTTGTTTTAGACTTGATAATCTGGTTTGTCTGGCGTGGATACTGTTTTAGCCTTGATGATCTGGGTTTGTCTGGCGTGGATACTGTTTTAGCCTTGATGGTCTGGTTTGTCTGGCGTGGATACTGTTTTAGCCTTGATGGTCTGGTTTGTCTGGCGTGGATACTGTTTTAGCCTTGATGGTCTGGTTTGTCTGGCGTGGATACTGTTTTAGCCTTGATGATCTGGTTTGTCTGGCGTGGATACTGTTTTAGCCTTGATGATCTGGTTTGTCTGGCGTGGATACTGTTTTAGCCTTGATGATCTGGTTTGTCTGGCGTGGATACTGTTTTAGCTTTGGTTGTCTAGGTTTGTCTGGCGTGGATTCTGTTTTAGCCTTGATGGTCTGGTTTGTCTGGCGTGGATACTGTTTTAGCCTTGATGGTCTGGTTTGTCTGGCGTGGATACTGTTTTAGCCTTAAAGATCTGGGTTTGTCTGGCGTGGATGCCCATACTTTCCAGTGTGTTTTAGCCTGATCGTTACATCCGGTTACGTCATTTGAGGAAACGGTGGTTCACAACAGCAATCTCTACTGCAGCAACAATTCCAGAACAGCGTAGGATCTGAGACCAGACAATCCAAAAACCCCTACGTGAAACCGGATTACGCGCCAGACGTCCCGTTAAGCTGTTGCTTTAAAATACCCCGACACACAGGGTATGACCACAGCAACGCTGGAGAATAGTTTGGTCCAGCGACGAGTAGCGGTTCCTGTTGCAACGAGGCGATAGTAGAGCGAGGGTATACCGACGACGAAATATCAAGATGCGTTTCGTTTTTTGAAGTATATATAGAAATCTTATTCGCCAACGGAACAAACGTCGAGAGAGAAAGAGAGAGAGAGAGAGAGAGAGAGAAAGAGAGAGAGAGAGAGAAATGGGGTTTAACGTCCACTCGACACAAACTAGGTCATTTCGGGACTAACATATGGTTTAATTTTATTTCAATAATTCGCTTGCGCGTAGGGGTCTTTAGCAGTGGTAGGAAACCGGAGGACCCGGAGAAAACCCACGAGGTTGAACAGGCGATCCTACCCTATTTACATATAGTATTTGGTTAGAATTAGGAGATATTTAGGGTTTTTTTTAGACGCTTGAGTAACCGGATACTGATACTATAAATAGATTTTTGCGGTTTATCGTAAAATAATTTGCTAATTTCGCGCATTAACTTATTTTTTGTATAATTCAACCACAGCGTTATTTGTTCATATATAAGGTATAGTAGGTATTGGGTACAATTGGATGGTATTGGGTAGTATTGGGTGATATTGGGTAGTTTTGGTTAGTATTGGGTACTATTGGATGGTATTGGGTGTTATTGGGTGATATTGGGTAGTATTGGGTACTATTGGATGGTATAAGGTAGTATATAGTAGGTATTGGGTAGTTTTGGTTAGTTAGTAT